ATGCAAAATTTCATTATGAATTTTTATTTTCAATTTGTACATAGCTTATTTGGAATTTTAACATTTTATATGAAAAGTAATATATGCATGCATATTACGATAGATAATAATATCCGTGCATAAATTTATAATAGAAATCAATTTTTATTTAATAACTTGTAATACATTGACTTATTCTTTATGAATTTAAATGTTTCTTGAATACAAAAATTTCAATAAGACATATATATTTAGAGAATTGACTGGTTTAGGTTCTTAATTTTATTTAATTAACTGAAACATATGGAAAATTTAAAATATTATCAAATCTATAATAAAATAATATTAATTGCCGTTAAACTAGAGAAGGGTTTACTGAATACAGTTTTTAAATTTTTTCTATTACTCTTAAGGATAATACAAATTTTTACAAATTTTCTAGCTTCGCTAACTCGCTTACGTTCTCAATAAAATAAAAGGTATCATAATTCCCTTAGGAATCTCGTCTTTCACGCTAAAATTTTCTCTAATTCTCTTCCACATCCATATATCTTCACTAATTTGTGCATTATAGTACATCACAGCACCCTCCACACTCCTCGAAAAATCTAATTAATCGCAAACATCAGTTCGAAATTACTACCAAACGTCGTTCTTCATTTGAGCTTCTCCAACGAATATCGACACATACGTATACACAGTTAAATGAGTGATCTGTGCACATGTATTTAGTAAAGCTGTTGAGTATACACAAATATAGCGTACATAAATAGTACTGGGCACCTCTAAATTACATAAACTATAGATAATGGATGTGGAGCTAGTGCCTCATTTCATTCCCAATATATAAAATAGTATCTATAGCATGGAAATATAGATGCATGTATATCTATATATATATATATAAGAAAAATAACAAAATACTTTCTTTCCTTTGGCCATTATGTCAGTAATTAGGCATTAAGAAAAAGGTAGAGTAATAAGGGTATAAAAAGAGATACGTCTCCGCATTTGACTGATTCCTTCCTGACCTCGGAGTAATCCTCACCGTTTCTCAAATTGCCGACCTCGAGTCAAAGGTATATGCGAAGACTGTTACGGAAGTTTAGTTTAATTACGTCGCTGCTCACGCTCGCCTGCACTAATTCCTCTCCCCCCGCTAATGGGCTTGTTTGGATTCCGTATCTGCCAGCGAACGAAAGCGTCCTAACTCTCTCAAAACATACGCAGTTTTACCGAGACCGAGAGAGAGAGAGAGAGAGAGAGAGAGAGAGAGTGAGAGAGCAATGGGAAGAATGGAAATAAAGAAAGAGGTGGAGGTAGCGGAATCGAGATAACTTTTACCAAAAGCGACGGGAGGAATTCCCAAAAGCCACACTTAGAAACCATTCGCCGGCTTCGTATCCTGGGCCGTTTGCTTGATGCTCCGCTGGAACAAGAATGTCTTTCAAAGTGGCGCAAAAACGATGAAACCGTATGTGGTTGAATAAACATGCATACTAATTACAAGACATTAAAATGTGAAGAGTACATCTCTTACCTTCAGGGAATAAACTTATTAAATGATACAGCTTAAGCTGCATAGACGGCATAAAATAATATTTACTGCTCTAACACAAAGTAATAGTTTAATTTCTCATATTCAACTATCATATTCATTTATAAATTAAAATTTTAATCCTACTGTTATTGCTCGTAATCATCGTAGATGAAGTTTATAACGTATTAACACTGAGAAACTAATTCGTAACTCTGTTGTCGGTATCTTCCATTAGTGACCGCAATTTCATTATCTGTTTTCATTGTATGTAAAAATGATAAAAATTCCTTTCGATTGAATTAGTTGGACAGTTCGAGTGCTATTGAAAATTGTTTATAATTTCAGTTTGCATTTTAGATTACCCCGATGATTTCACATCATTGCATTTTGTTTATTAATTTTAAATTAAAATCCATATAGATTAATTAATAATAATATAATTAATTATATTCCGACATTAACGTGTAAAAGAGGATAATTTTTATTTTCTATATCCGTAATTTCATTCCAAATGACAATTATTTCTCAAAACTTCCTCAAGAAGATTTTAAATAATTGCGTATCAACAAAATGTAAAACATAAAGATTTATTGTTACAAATAATCTAGTTACAAAATTACGTCGGTTAAATTCAAATATAATTATACAAATACGTATTTTTCTAAATTTTTTTTCAATTCCAAATGTACGATAATAAAAATTATATTCTCTCGTTTGACTTGTGTTTTAAATTTAACCAATAGCAGAGATAATGCAGATTGCCCTAATATTGGAGACTCAACTTTTATGAATTCCTCGTCGAATAATAATGATCATCATCCTCTTAGTTTCACTTTACTCTTAAGGTTTAGCGCTTTTGGTTACGTAGCGCCTTGAATTCTCTGCGCAATAAAGTTCTGCCATTTTTTACATTGCTCCGGTGCAAGAAGCAATTACTCCTGCATAGGCTTTTTCGATCCATGCTTTTCACGAGAGGAAGTTACGTTGTACGTTAGTCGACGGAAAATTGGTAATAAACTTCCTTCTTGTGAGCTTTATGCGAACAAAGATTTTCCTGAAAGCGAAAATCCAGATAGATGTTAGTTAATTTACCTCTTTGTCCTCTTAACTTTTTTTTTTTTTTTTTTTTTGACTTATACTATAACCAAAGCAATTGAAATGAAATAAAGAAATCAACGGCATTTATAGTCTTTTATTTTTGACAACTTTTTCATTTTTACTAAATTTTCACGTTATGTATATATTAAGATTTAATTTATACTTGGTGGGAAAATAGTTTTACTAATTATGATTATAACAGGCCGCAGGTTTCGTTGAAATTGATGAGATAACGAATATTCTATTAGAAATGTTTCGAATGAAGCAAATTTTTTGACACATACATAAAAATATAATCATATTGATATTATAAATAATGCATATATGCATTGTAATTTAATAATCGTAACAAGTTAATTATAAAAGAGAATTTTTATCCTTTAATTTCATTAATTTTATTTTATCTCTCAATTTTTACGACATTTCATAATAAATAACAGTATACCGAAACATTTATAAATTTTAATTTCTTTACTCCACATCAACAAGTCTACGTGATTTAATCGAAAATTTAATTGAAATATTTTTCAATTAAAAATTTGATAAATTTACATTACATCAGTGTAACTTTGTGTTTATCTTAGTCTTGGAATAATGTGATGAAAGACGTATAATTTATATTACATGAAATTTTCATTTTAATTATAATATTATCGACATAAAATAATTGTAAATAAAAAATATTTTTAAAAATTATACTAATTATAGGAATATCCTTTATAAGGTATTAGAAAAGATTAATATAATTTTGAGTAACTCTTATCCTATTAATTATTAATTTTTTATTTACTCAAGAAATAAGTCATTTTCATCCTTGAAATATTTTTATATTACATTTATAATTTATAAATATGTAAGCAGTCGTTCTTAATATGAATATTATTAATATTAATATAGTGGTAAAAAGGTATAAAAAATGTAAAACTTCTGATAAACCTTCTCTCATTATATTCTTTGAGCGTAAATTTGTTTACCATATGCAGTTATGTTGAAGTAATTAATATTACTTATTCTGTTTTAATGAATTTGTCACTATTTATCTTCATATTTATATAACTATTTATCTTTAATATTTGTATTCATTTTACATTTTTGAAAGTTCATTTAATAAAATAGTGTATGGGATAAATAATTTGTTTATAGATTATCAAAAACTTCTATTCAACTCATTTTATTAATTGATTGGATTATAGAGAACATGGAGTTTATATAAAAAAGAAAGTTTTAACTAATCAAATGCAACATTCATAGGAATCATTCATACCTAATCGTTCATACCATTCATTAAAATATCTAGAACATTCTGCCTCAATAACGAAATAACGTACCAATATCATTTTTCTTTTTCATTGTGGTGATTAATTTTTGCTTTCACGCACGTATATTAATTTCGTATTTTAATGCAAAGAGATATGATAATATTAAGTTAAGGTAACATTTGAACATTAAATTATGCGGATTGGCTATTTATAATGAATTTTTTTTGATGAAATTATTGCTCTGTTAATATAAAGATTATAAAATATTCACTACAACTTATTTACAGCTACAAATTATGTACAGACTATTACAGAGAATTATGAGGACTCAGGTGTAATCATTATCTAACCTCAGCAGTCTCAAGTGTTGCATTGTATTTATAACTCATAAGCCCCTTATTTTTCATATTTCATGGTTTTAATTTACATGAATTTAGTAGAAGGGACACGTTAAAATTAAGAATTAGTAATTTTCTATTTCCTATATTGAAAAATTATTTCATTAAAAATGCGTACGAATATTATTAATCCGCATCTAATAGAGTCATTATAATAAATACGATATCTATTGTAGTTTCAAAAATTTTCTAAAATACAATTTCTTACTCCTATAATGGATACATATTATAAACTAGAATTTAAATATATATTAAGAAGAAAGGGAATTAAATCTTAAAAAATACTTAATCTAATTTATTTAGAATTATTTCTTTAGACATAATTTTTGTAATTGAAAATTTATTGCACTGCATTGAAGACTTGCTAGATTATTACTCAATTATCTGTCAATTTCAATTTCACATTATAAACAATTAATAGCCATATTATTATATTCATTCAAATAATATTTATTAAGAACTAATTCGTACTTACTTTAAACTGAGGAGCAACAAAAGTCGAGATACTTAATTTTTCTCCATAAATCAGCCCAATAAATAATATTGTTATATAATATTACAATATACTCTCCTTTTACGAATACACACTCGAGCGATGAATTTTCAATGAATAAACTCACCTATCCCAAAGCTTTACGTCGTCGTCGTCGTCGTCGTCGTCGTCGTCGTCGTCGTCGTCGAATATAAACGTAGATTACTTTAGGCTTACTTGGTAATATCGAACTGCTCGTAGCGCAAGAGAATAGCTTCAGTAGCAGTTAGCTCACGTGCTATCGATGCTCATCGTCCAAATCGTTTCTCTCGTGCTGCTGCATTTCCACCTCCGAAGGAGCCAAAGTCGAAGAGTCGAGGAGTAGTCGAATGTTCACGGCACCGCGCCACCAGCGATACCAGGGCGTTGCTTGGTTCTTGGAACAAATTAAACGGCGACATTACAATGTGATCTAATGGCCGACTGCGATCACATCGACAATTCGGCGAACCTATTATCAAGCTTCAACCTATAATATGCCGCATTAACCAAAGTGGAATATTATGCGTAAACTAGCCGAGATGATTCGAGCACCTTGATTATCTCATAGATGTTAAAGAGATTTATTTTTCTCTAAGCATTTAAAGGCATTCGATTTATTGCTGCCATTCATTCATAAACCCCGTGAGCTTAACGAGAAACATTAATTTCCTAGTTCTATATTAATTTCGAGAATAAGTGAAGCTCGTATACTGATATACTTGAGAATATTCATATTAAATATATTTAGCTAAATAGTAATTTACGCAATTGACGCAAGAAAGGAAACAAGCAAGTGATTTGAATTTCATTATGAAATAATTTATCTATATGTACGTAAGTATATTGAATAATACGTCACTGAAAAAGCAACTGAAGTGTAAACAAAATTTTAATTCATAAGCATACAATTATGTAGTGATTAATTGTTAAAAGTTATTTTCACTTTCTAAACCACATTAATTACAAATTTAAACTACATTATATTCTAATATAAAAAATACATAAATAAATTTTAACAAATTGATACAGTTAAATGTATAAAGTTAATGATTAAAATTTTATTGTTCCGGGATATAAATATAAAAAAAAGATTCGAGTAAATTAATTTAATCAAGAAAATAAATCATTATTCTTTACCTTGGTAATTTCATTTGTAATAAAAAATTAACTAAAACCAATGGTCCAATCTTCATTTCGTTAATATCAACTTCAAATATATTAAAGCAGTATAAAATAATTTTTTCATTTCGGATTCGGACAAACCGATCGTTCTATAACTAGCTCATCGCGTTTAATTAAATATATTAAATTCTTAATTATCTAATCAATCCAACGCACTTTCCATTGCGTAAAATTAATGAATAATTATAATTAACTAAGTATACATCTTAATGAATATTAACAAAACGAAAATTTGGAATTGTACTATTAATCGAAAGGGAATACTATATATTTGTACGTTTCAAATGATTATTGCTCTTACCACATAATACCTTGAAATTTATTATATCTCTATGTTTATGTGAATGACTGAAACATATACATTAATGTACATTTTATCGCACACATAAATATTTGACGTGAAGATAAAAATCCCTTTACCTTAAAAAGGGAATATACGTCTATTTTATACGAATGATAAACACTATAATCAAGTGTACTCTAATAATTTTCCTTCAAAGCAATTCGATAAAGATTTATATAATCAAAGTTATAGATTGATAATTTCAGTAATTATACGAAATCTTTCAGTACAATTTTATTTACATCTTCTGATCTGACATTAATAACAGAGTGTTCAATATTTCAAAGAATTACAACAACAACAAAAATGCACACATAATAATGCTTGAAAGTAAAAGATAAATAAAATGCTTGAAAAGTAGCCTATATGGTCTCGAAATTCCATACTAGTGTGTGTATCCAAGCGAATATCTATATTCTTGTTGTATTAGACTCTAAAATTGTCCGAGGCCAATATGAATAGAGATAATCCCTTCTTCGGCTCTCCATAGCGAGTTAAAATTTTCCACAAATTTCGCTGTAATGGCTCATTGAGATTTTATATTTTAAATACGACAAATACGGGCGAATACTTTTGACATCTTTTGCCTCTGTCCTTCTGCATTTTGAATGCGCTGAAGGAGCAGAAAATAATATCTCCTTGTTCTTTTAGACATGAAATGATAGCGCTTGTGTGAGCTCGGGTAGTTCAATGGTAGTGATGGGTGAAGCGAGAAGAACAGATTCTTTTGTAGTTCAAATAAGAGACTAAGGAAGGAAAATAAAGAACTACAGATGAGAATGAAAGAGAGAAGTATGAAAGAAAATTGTTGAAAAGGCAAGGAAATATACACTTAAAAAATTAAAACTTAAAAAACTACTAAAGTAAAAACAATAACATATATACAGATTTATTTATATTAAGACAGATAGATAGATAGAGAGAGAGAGAGAGAGAGAGAGAGAGAGAGAGAGATAGGGGGAAAGAAAAAATATCTTATATGTAATTAATAAAAATTACAAAATCATGAGATAGCGAAGGAAATTTCAGTGAAGTAAGAATGAAAAAGAACACAAGGCAGTATCACCCAAAGTAAATAAAGAGTTGTACAGGGAGGATGAAAAGGCAAAGGGTTGTCTCTTGTGCATAAAGCAAAAAAAAAAAGTAAGACGGAAGGTAACTCTGATGCTAAATAGAATTCTGACATGTTCGAAGGCAGAATCACGGTATGTTCTAAACGATCGACGTCATAAAAGTTGTTCAACTATATCACGTAACTCTCGCTCAGACAACGTTTTTATGGTCTTATTTTTTTGCTTTTACTTCTATTTTTATTTCTTTTTTTTTTTATTCGTTTCGTTGAGTAAGCTAATTTACAGTATAAAATAAGTATTTGACTCATATTAATAATTAATTATTTTGTAATTTATAATTAATAAATATGATATTCGAATTTTCCTATTCAAAATTTTGCATTGTAATAAAATTTAAATTCCGACTTTGACGGATTTCTGACATAATATATTTGAAAATTAATTTAACATTATTTTAGTCATACATTGCTTATGTAGTCATTATAAAATTTATTAACGAATACAATTTCAATGAATTATTTGTATTTACTTTATTTCAGAGATTTTTTTTGTTTTTTTGTTTGTTTATTTGTTTTTTTTCATTTTTCTTTTTTTTTTTTTTTAATAAATTATGATAGTTTAAGGAATAAAATATTAAATTTGCATTTCTATATTTGAAAATTATTATTGCTTTAATTTTCTCTTCAGTATACATTCTGACGAAAACAATCGATTCTATAACTCATGAAAGTTATAAATATTATATATACATTTTTTTAGTTAAATAAATAATTTGTAAATTAATATAGAATAAACCATAATCCAAAATACTCTCCTACATCAGATATCAATGTACATTAAGTAACAAAATATAATAATTTCAGCAGTGAATAATATTAAGCAATTATAAAATTTTAGTGAGAAATATCGTGTAAATAATATAATAATGGCTCTATCGTAATAAATCATCGTTAAAAAATCTATTCACGCGTACTCGTTTTAAGTTTAATACTCTAATTATCTAAAGTATTGATAAATAAAACAATTACTATTACATATGAAATAATAATGTGTATTATGGATATGTATAAATAATTTTTTATTGTAATTTTATCATTTGATATTAAGGAATAAATTATTTTCCAATTAAGACAGTGAATTTTAATAAAACTTTTGAATATTTACAAGGCTTAGAAGTAGACTTTTAACTATATACTTGCAAAATGTTAAAAGTACTTTTAACGTAAATATTTATTATTAGATGAACACATTTTTTGTATTTAAAAGCTTCATTGACACAATCTATATTATATTTAAAAAAAAAAAATCATCCATTAAACAAACCATGCACTACCGGGCGCTTTTTAACTATGGAGAAGAAATATTTACACATTGAGTGATTATCTAAATCGAATAGTGGCAACAATATAAACTAATCACGCAATCTCCCTTCTGTTTGTTTGTGTTTTTTTTTTTTCATTCCAAAAACAACTCCTTAGATACATAATTCATTTCACTTTCACTCAGATACTTAATATAGTTAACATTGATAAATTATACATTATCTAAATGAAAGAAAAATTCAAATAAGAAATGAGACGTAAGCATATTGGCAAGAGATTACCTCGTAATATACTATTAAAGTACTTTAGCGACCATCACATTATTAACCCTTCTTTTCGATTAAACAACCCCAAGAGAAACATAATTGTAGTAAATGCTGAAGTTCTATTGTATACCAATTTTCTCGCTCTATATATATTGTTTATACTTGGAGTGTAGTAAACGAAATTTGATTTAACAATTGATTCGATAAAAGTATTTGTACACTGTATATCTAATGTTTCAGAAAATATATTCTTAAATATTATATAATATTATATAAAAAAATTTACAGTCGTTCTTATTCTAATTAATACAAGTATTAAGTTACATTTATAAATAATCATTGTTTTAAGTTAAACAAATTACTTATGCATCTTTGCTTATGTATTATAAAATAAAAATTTTTCAAAGAAAAATTTCAATATTGTAAGTATTAAAATCTGTTATACTTTAAATATATTAATATATATATCTAAATGGAACATTTAAACTTTCATTTTAAAATATTAAAAAGTTTCTAAATGCATTGTCTAGAAATAAAACTCTTAAAAACTTATTATTTTTTTCTTTGAAAGTTCTTCAAAATATTTTCCTAAAATGTTATATATAAGTATTTGCTCAATGTCTTTAATTTTAAAAGAAATTGTTTGTTAACATTTTTGAACGAGATACGATAAAACATAATCCTTATTGCAAGCATTATTATTTTAATCAAATAGGTTTCACTAAGATAATTTAAAAAAACAAGTCTTTTTTAGAAATATTATTAAATTTCTGTAACATCTTACATCTTTATGCAATGCAATTTTTGAGAGGAAAATATAAAAGTGTTATATTAAATATAAAAGCGATTTACATCGTCAGCGGAAATAGTATTTTCTATTTTTTCATAATGGACGGGAAAGCTGAATCATTATAAAAGTTCTAAAATTTTAAACATTGAAAATGAGCATCGAATATTTAGAAGGAGAATAAAATAAATATCTTGTTCAATAATATAAACAAATAATTATTTAACATTTATGTATAATATCAATACGTGTATGTTTCATTTGTCAAACGATATGAAAGCATGAGATTAAAATGAACACTTTTAAGCTTATCTAATCCTTATGAAAACGAATCCATTATATTTATAGAATTTTATATTCTTCTAATATGAAGTGTGAATACTTATTCTCTGTAAGATGTGATTTTAAATAATGGATTAGT